TATATATATCATATTAGTGAACTCAATAAGTGGTGGTACAGGAAGTGTGTGGCCCACAGGGGGCGTTACCTTGTGGTGCAGGTTGTCTCTGATTGGATGTTGGGACTGGGCGGGGATCAGGAAGTCTGCAGGAATCATTCGAGTTCCTGAAGAGGAAACAAAGCGTTGGTGAGCAGGACGGAGCCACAAAGAACCAGAACCAGAAGCGGTGGGCGGAGTCACCTTGGTGGATGAGCTGGTAGAAGGCGTGCTGCCCGTTGGTCCCGGGCTCGCCCCACACGATCGGTCCCGTGTGGTAGTTGACGCGGCTGCCATCTTTGGTGATGTACTTCCCGTTGGACTCCATGTCGCCCTGGAAACCAGAAACGGGTTCAGGGTGCGTTCTGATTGGACCGCGCCGGTCGACAAGCTGCACCCACCTGCTGGAAGTAGGCGGCGAAGCGGTGCATGTACTGGTCGTACGGCAGCATGGCGTGGGTCTCGGCCTGGAAGAAGTTGATGTACCAGATGCCCAGGACAGCCAGCAGAACCGGGACGTTCTGATCCAGAGGGGCGCTGCGGAAATGGTTGTCCTGGAAACAAAAAGAGGAGGAGGGGGTTGGGTTACAGAGAGCCGACAGCCAATCAGGGAGCAGAACCAACAGAACCGTTCTCCTACCATCCAGTGAGCTCCGGCCAGAAGCTTCTCAAAGTTCTCGAAGCCTGAAACACAAACGGACAGACGGGTCGGGTCAGGTTCTGCTCGTGTCGGAACCAGACTCGTTCAGAACAGAGTTAGCGTCAAAGTTCAAAGGTCACAACGGTTCTGATCCTGGATTCAGTCTGAGCTCATTTCAGACCTTTTAATCCAGAGGACACGCCCCTTTAGAGGACACGCCCCTCAGAGGGAGGACTCGCCCCCTCAGAGGGAGGACTCGCCCCCTCAGAGGGAGGACACGCCCCCTCAGAGGGAGGACACGCCCCCTCAGAGGGAGGACGGTGACGTACCTACATGCAGAGCGATGGACAGACCAATGGCGGACCACAGTGAGTAGCGACCTCCGACCCACTGGGGACAAGCAAACATGACATCACACAGTCATTCCACCAATCAGAGCGCGGCAGCTCGTCAAAATAAAAGCATCAAGATGCAGCAGGGCTCAGGCAGTGAGTCAGCTCGGAGCTCAGCAGTTACGGCAACAAAGCCGGGTCAAAGGGCCCAAACTTACGTCCCAGAACTCGAACATGTTGGCCGTGTCGATGCCGAAGTCCTTCACCTTCACCTGGAGACAGGAAACAGGACCGTCAGAACCAGAACCCCCCGGTCCAGTTGAACCCAACACTGACACTTACTGCGTTGGTGGACAGAGCCACGAAGTGTTTGGCCACGGCAGATTTCTGTGGAGAGAAAAGAACGTCTATAAAAACATCAGAGTGCAGCGGCGGGTTCGGGTTCAGGTTTGGGTTCGGGTCAGCACACTCACGTCTCCGGCCGTCTGCAGGAACCAGTCTTTGGCCGACTCGGCGTTGGTGATGGTCTCCTGGGTGGTGAAGGTCTGAAACAAAGCCAGCAGCACAAAGATCAGCACCGAGACCCCCGACAGGTGACCCCACGCACCTGAGGTTGCTGTACTTCCTGTTGCATTCAGCCACAAACAGAACCGGCAGACGGGTTCTGATCTAATGGTTCTGATGTCAGAGGAAACGCTACGAAATGTGCAGGAAGATAAAAACAAAGAGGGTGTGTCTGTCTTTGTGTGTGTGTGTGTGTGTGTGTGTGTGTGTGTGTCTGTGTTTGTGTGTGTGTGTGTGTAGACCTTTGAAGCGATGATGAACAGCGTGGTCTCTGGGTTCAGCCGGGCCAGGGTCTTGGCCATGTGGGTCCCGTCGATGTTGGAGACGAACCAGACGTTTGGACCGTCTGCAGAGTACGGCTTCAGGGCCTCGGTCACCATCAGTGGTCCCTGAACGCAGCACCACACACACACACACACACACACACACACACACACGATCCTTCAGGACCCGAGAGGATCTGATCCAAACATTCAGACATTATTCTGAAACATTTGACTCACCAGGTCGGAGCCTCCGATGCCGATGTTCACCACGTCTGTGATGCTTTTACCGCTGAAGCCTTTCCACTCACCGCTGCGCACTTTCTGTAAAAATACACATCATCAGCTAAAACCACACAAACAGCAGCTAAAACCACACAAACAGCAGCTTATTACTGCAGAAAACCATTAAAGACAGAGTTCAGTCAACCTGATGTTTACCTGTGATTTTACTGTCAGCCTTCATCACTGAGCATCATCATCATCATCATGATCATCATGAAGGTTTTATGGTTAACAATTACAACTGATGAGTTTTTGAGGATTTGTAATTTTACAACTTTTTTAGTTGTAACTTTTACTTTATTGCAGTACTTTAAAACCTCTGGGTTCTAAATACAGTATAAATGTTTTAGTGTTTTAATATATAAAGCTGATATTTCTGATGAATAAAAACAGACTGTTTCACAGACAAACTGATTCATCTTTGTTTCATTTTGTTTAAACAAAGTTCTTTTATTCTTATTGTTGTTTAAAATCCTGAGAACTAAACCAACTGAAACATCCAGTTCTAACCAGTCAGGCTGCAGCTGCTCCACACCTGTCTCATTTTCTGTCACACACTCACACACACACACACACACACACACACTCACACACTCACACACACACACACACA